GAGCAGAGCAGACCAGGTCCAGGCTACAGCGGCACAAGACCAGACAAGGTTCCACACATGTCAGGTAAGAACAGGAATCTAAGGCTAGAGTTAGAAGCTCACCAAACTGGCTAATAGAAGACTGGAGAAAAACTCAGTGGGTTGATGACATTTCGATTTCTGCAGCAACATTCAGATGGTAGAGTCAGAATTTGGTGTAAACAACATGAAAGCATGGATGCACCCTGCCTTGTATCAACAGTTCAGACCACCGGGGGTGTGGTTTCAACCTAATAGAGCGCCTTTGGTATGTGATGGAATGGGAGATTAACATCATGGATGTGCATCAAAGTGCTATGCTATCATATCAAAATAGACCAAAATCTCTGAGGAACATTTCCAGCACCTTGCTGAATCTGTGCCACAAAGAATTAAGGCAGTTCTGAAGGAACAAGGGGCTCCGGACTAGTACTATCAAAAGGTGTGTCTAATGAACAGGCCATGGAGTGTATTTCAAGTCTGAGAACATCATCTTTGTCGTCTACACAGGGAGACCACAAAGAAGCAAAGCAGCTCACATTTTTTCTTTTAAACATATTTTGGAAGCTTGTATTGCAGCTTTTTAAAGGTGGATCACCTCAGGAGAGGTTGTCCATTCCTACTGTATATCTCCTATTGATTGTTTTTCAGACACAATAAGTCCTGCAAAAATATAAATTTCAATAAAAACCGAAATCTATTTTATGATTAATATGGACTAGATTGCACATGCAAATTGGTGATATTACTTCTTGTGCATTTTTTAAAATCAGACTGATATTTACATTATTAAATTAAAATTTACCATCAGCATACCACGCTGGAAGTGTACAGCTGAATATCTTGTAGATAATATTGTACAAAGCCGCTCACAGACACAGGAAGCTGTGTTTTATTGCCTCCACCTTCCTCGCTGGAGAACAAACACTTCCATCCATCAGCAGAGACACAGCCCTCTCTCTGTGTTGGTTCACTTTCAGCTCAAAGCAAACAAATCTGAGCTGTGCTGTTTTGTATTTCTGAAGGTTATCTGGTTCTGCCAGGTATCGACCTGCCATTGGTCCATTTAGATTTACACTCTAGAGGTAAAATATCTTTCAGATGTCACACCTGGATTCAGTATCAGAAGCAGTTCTCACAGCATGATTTGCAAGTAAACTCATGGCTTGCTGGCTTACTCTTAAGATTTTCATTATGAAAGTACTTTTACAGAATATTTAAGGGAAAAGGACAGAAGTCATTTTTGTTGTGTTGTTCCCAAAAGGAACAAGTTTGAACATTTGAACGTCCACATTTAATGGCAACAGTGTGTCTACCCATTCTTGAATTTCCACAATAAAACCTGCAATTTTCTCCTGAAATCTCCTGTAATGTGTGTACCCTCATGTCTTGTCTAATGTTACTCGGCTTTTCTAGACGGCATATTTGTCCAAAGCGAACTAGCAGCAGGCAACCAAGATACAAGCAGAGCTGTATAACCCTTATCGACGTCTCTTAATTGAACATGATGACTGAAAGCAGGGTAAATGTTTAACATTTCAAAAGCAGATGAGCAAAATAGTCATTTCTAACATAAATAATATAATACAGCTCGCTCTGCCAAACAATAGTTATTTTTTCAAAAAGTACTACAAATCCTGCAGATTTTTTGGGCTGTGAGATTTAAAAAAAAAAAAATCTGCTTATTTTCACAGAAGCAGGATTAAATCCGACTGCCAACTCTCCGCTTTCTGAGAGAACTGGAGAGATGTGTTGACCCAATAGTTGCAGGGGTCGTGCCAGCTCAGGGAGTGTTAACCTGCAACCCAGAATGTGTTCCTACCTCTCTGCTATCCAGTGCCAGGGCTGCTCTCATCACCTCCCACTCAGGGCTAGGCAGCGAATCTGAGATCTCCTCACCTGACACCAAAAAAACCTATCAACCCCAGGCTCTCCTTGACAGATGAGTTTAACACGGGAATTCAATCATAAGAAATTCGAGAACAGCAATCGGGAAGCACTGGATTTCATATAAGTGAGATGTCATATTTTTCAGGTTGTAAATTCAACATGTGAGGCCTTTTTGACTTCAGTGGGTTCAATTTTTCTTTTATTTTCCAGTTGGAGTCGAAAATTTTACAAACAAAACAATCAGCGCCGACTAAAAAAAATGTGCTGGGAGGTTTGGGTGCATAGATTTCTGGATGTTGTAGCCATCCACCCACAAACGTGGACAAGTCGCCAGTCTATCACAAGACTAACAGAGAGACAGAATCATTCACACCTACAGCAAATTTGGATCACGATGAATCTAACAAGCATGTCTTGTTGGACCTGGGAGCAGCAATGAGTTTCCCTGAGAGAACCCGGAATTGATTGTTCCAGAATTAGTCTACTGATGTGACTCGACTACTGGACTCTCGTGATAGCTACATTTCCTATGCACAAAATTTACATCGCATTGACCACATGAATCCTTGCACAAGCTGCAGAAATAACTTGTAAATCCCCACACCCACAGCAACTCATTGTACAGCTGTGAATATCTGTGGAGGCATTGGGTTTCAGATTCTTCAGATGATTAAACCGTGGAAACAACTGACAAGGGGAAAGATGATCCGAAAAAAAGAAAAAAAGATCTAAGGCTGAAGATGACGGAGTGAACATCTGCTTTGGATGATACCGCCTCAGTTCTCTGAAGGGTTTGTGTGAAGGTATCACACATAAACCTGATATTAGGCCCATTTTTAAGCCCTTGAGGTTTTTTTACTCCAAGAACATGATCACTTTGTTTTCTGCCTGTGGTGGTAAATAAGACAAGTTTCCATGCCAGCAGAGATCTGCTGACACCCAGCTCATATGAAACCTTTTTAGTCAGGATAAACTGCAGAGACTGTAGTTTTTCATTCAGCTGGGTGGCAAAGCCGCAAGGGGCATAGAAGAGATAGATCCTGAACTCTCAGCTTCGGACACTGTGGGGTTCCCTTGGCTGACATTCCTTTTCAGTTTTGCATGGTGGTCAGGGACATTGGCATGAGATTAGAACATTAGGGTAGTGAACCCAAACTTTTAAAGAGAGGAACAGAGTGTTTTCAAACAGTTAAACAGTTAGTTAGTCCATCGTAGTCATGAAGAAGCAGACCAGCTTTTTACCCTTGTTGGAATTGTGATGGGAATTTATTCAGTCTGTGTTTTGCAGACTGGAGAATGAATATGACAATGTTTCTTAATATTTTTTCAGAGATGTCGCAGGAGCATGTGGCGCAGGACCACTGCGACATAACATCACTCTCTAATAATCAAAGCAAGCATGGTACATCTATACTCATCACCATGGATTATCCAATATACAGTGGCCGGGTCATTACTCATAGAAGTAATGCACTGTTTGTTTGTTTTTAAAGGTACAGTAAGTTTTTTTTGTTTTTGTTTTTTTAGATTAAGCAGAAAAAAATAACATTGTACTATACATTGCTTAGTGTGTAATTATGTTCTTCCAACAAACTGATACACACTCGCACACTTAGAAATTATATATTAAAACAACAGAGGGCACTGAGGAGTGCTACCAACTATCACCTGAGCTCCTATACAGATGGTGCAGTCTACACTCTGGGCCAGTAGCTTTACCCGCATACTGTAAGTGTGGGAGGGCCTCAGCGACGAGGGCTAACTTCCTGACAGATAGAGATAAAACTAACTCCAAACAAAAACAAAGAGTAGGTTTAATAATAAAATAAAAATAAAACAGGTGAATCTTTGAAGGCATTAACCAGGATCCAGCACAATCCAAACAAAAATGGGTGTCAACACACAGGTTCACGGATCTCCAACCACTCTGGGATTCCACATATAGTACAATTTGTTTGACTAACATAAAGATCAAAGCTAAAACAAAAGGCAGTGAAATAAACATGAATGTGTATAAGGTGTTTTGGGTATGTTAAATTATGTATTTCAGCTACATACCATAAACACCAGAGAGAGAAGCCACAGGTGCCTCGCATCAGGCCCTAGTTGAGATTTGTTTGGGAAGGAGTTAGAACTCAGGGTGCGTTCATGAAAGCGTGTTCGTGGTAATGCATTCTCCACCACAAACATCACAAACAACAAGTACTGAAAACAAGCCAGTGGGTGTGTCTGTATGGGTTTTTCTTTTCTTGGTTTTCCAAGTTGGGATATAGTCTTTTTTGAAGTCCTCATCTTAGAATAGTTACTGGTAAATATTAGTAAGTCCAACAGAGGGGGGATGTTACTTGCTTTCCATGCAGCTCAGATTCCACTTAACTCAAACTCTGGACCAATGATCATGTCATAAATCAGTTCTGTCTGAAGAGGTAAAGTTGTGTACAAAATACTCATATAGGCTCTGATCAACTGGAAAAAAGGCTAATGGCATCATAATAGTTTTATTCTGTTTAAAGAATGAAATCTGAAGTAACTTATTTTCGAGAATTAACCTGGTTATTTGTCTCTGTGTTTCAAACAGCACAAGAACTGACTGCTTTGCTGTATTAAAGAACCGTACCGACTCAGTGACATGTGGAGGTGGTAATTTAAACCGTTTGCATTGTTTTCTGTTTTTGGTTCAGTTGTGCAAGCTGCAGACTTTATGGCTTTAGTCAGGATGGCTTTTAACTGCACTCAGACCCACTGAAGCTTAACAGCATGTATGAGAGTAGTGATAGCGCATTCAGGTAGAGGAATGCACCTCATTAGAGCAGCAGTAAGTAGAAACA